ACTCAAATCTTTCCAACTATCCAAACCTACGTTTGCCCAGCTTGTCTGCGCTGCCTTGCCCATTTCTTACTGTAGAAACCACAACCAAAGCCCCTGCCCATGCTTTTTTCCCCTCGCCCCTTCTGCCACGGGGCCAGCCTGCTGCTTCCCCAAGGGGTCCTGCCTGGGGCAGCCTGCTCCTCCCCCTCGGAGCTCCAAGTAGCAAACTTTGTTTTCAGTGGCTATCGTCTCCTGCTGTGTCGATCACACCACACCCGAATAAAAACAAGTCCTGGAAACATTTTAAAGTAGAATAAAAATCATTGAAATTCCCTTATCAAACGCTTAAGAAAATTGAAATATCAGAATAACATGTACACAGTGGATAATAGTTCTAAAATATATTTGAAACTGACACTGCATCTCTAGACTAATGCATGGCTACAGGTATAATCAGTGACGTCACAGAGCAGATCCGGCAAACACCTGTCATTATCACCTTGCTTTTCTGGGTGTGCTTAGCAACCCTATCCCATCACACAGCTTTGTTACCTTCAGAGAGGTCCACAGCTTGGAAAGTCTTTCAAAATGCAAAAAAGACGGAGCCAAACAAAATGCATCTGCCTGGTAAGTACCATGGTTCATAATTAGAATTATAATAATGGAAAGTTCTGGATTGAAACATAAGGAGATGACAATTATTACAATGGATATAAAATATGAGTCACATGCTCTAAATACAAGAATGATCAGAACATCTGAAAATTTACACTCGGTTCACACTACTATTTGACATCAGTGAACACACAATCGGCTATGCTACTAATAGCTTATTGTGCCCATATCCCAGAGTCTGAAGACCTGTCTCTATACAGCGCCATTGATTACCTATGTTTTCCTGGTCAAGTTACTACACCTCTGTTGAGACTATCTAAAAAGTTCCTAACTCAATTCAGACAACAGAATAATTAGGCATATGGTTGGGAGCAAAGTCAGGTTTTGGTACTTCTTATCACCGCTCTTCTGCTAATCTGAGTATCTTTTTGTTGGGGTTAAATGAGGCAACTAAGAATGGTAACACATGCAAAGAAAGAGGACCAGAAATAGGCATGTCAGTGTCAGGGAGTTTCAGTACTTGTAACAAATGAGTTGTTATGCCGACCATCCTGCCTGTGCAATTACGAAGGCACAGTCCAGGCTGGGTCACCCAAGGGTGTCTCAAATTAAGGATAGTTTTAAGGTGTTAAATGGGATGGTAGGCTTTGCTTGTAACATGGTAGAGAATTGAGCCTGAATAAGACTCAAGATGATGGCAAGATTGTCAGATGGGAGTCAGATGTAATAAAGATTTTAAAAATTCCTATAAATGAGTTATTAAGTTACTGGCCACCAGTAGGCCCTAGGCAAGTTACTGTAGTACTCACTGTTTAAGATAGAGACTGCAAATAACTATTGTACAAAGTCTAAAGTCTCAAAGCCCTGCTTCTTCTTATTTGGAAGAAACTTGAATATTAATAATCCCTGACTGATAGATAATTTGAAGGTCAAGAAAGCATTAGAGGTAATATTCTAAGTTCTTGCTTATGAAGGGTTAAAGGAAAGCTATTAAATAAGACCAGAAGAGACCACTAGGGGTAGTAATTGGCAATATGCAAGATGGAACATGAAAATCAGGGTCAGCATTCTAATCTAGGATGGAAATTTTAAAAAGTGACTTTAAGTATGGTTTATATAATTTAAAGTGTCTTCCAAGCATAAATTTTATGCTTTGGTAAACAATATTTGCGTGAACTTCAAAGTAAGTTGTTTCCGATTTGTTCTATGGCCCATGGGAGTGTTACTCAGATTTATATAAAGAAATTTTAATCTAAAAAAGTAAATGGTAGCGAAATAGGCCAACCCCCCCCCCCAAAATATGCCACTTGGCATAAGGATTATTTTGAATGAAAGGCCTCTTTTTGTTCAACCTAGGATAAAAGTACTTCGGCTCTGCCACTCAGGTCTTCATTCCCTTATGAGGCTCCAGGGTCATGTAAAACTCATATTAAGTAACTTTCTGCTGTTAATACATCTGACATCAGTTTAATTCTCTCGCCCAGCTGAAAACACTAGGAGGGTCAAGATAAAAATTTATCTCTTCTACAAATGCACATCACTGCAATGAACACATGAAGGCTAAATTATATTAGCACTACATGGACAAATTTGTATCTTGTAAAGATTTAGCCTATACCAGCCACTCAACCTATGTGGACAATTCTATACTTGCTAATAAGCTTATAATAAGTACTAAGCCAAATATTATTTCACCTACAATACATTATAAGTGAAGATAAGAGCTATCTCTCCCTACACCTTAATTCAATATGCAATTATTAAACTCTCTTTAAAACCTTACCGGAGATGTTAGTATTTTAATATACTTTAGTGTGTTGAGAAGCAGTCTCAAAGCAAGTAGGAACTGAGAGACGGCAATCGTGTTACACAAAAATTGTATTAAACAGTGTCTGTAATTTAAAGCCGCATACATCTGATGCAAAAAGAAAGTAATTTTAAGGCCTGCACACAAGAGTCACTGTTTTTCTTAACTTGGAGAGTTTAGCTCAAATTGCTTGGCCAAACCTGTGGAAAACATTTGGACAACTCCTGCCTACCACACTTGCCAAAGCTTTCAATGCAGAGACTGAGTACAATTTCTTTACTACCTTTCCCATCTCTAAAACGACAGAGAAAATCTAGTAATAACACCACACCTTGGGTTAAATCATATCAGGTAGCCCGCTCTACCTACTATTTTGAAATTAAGGAATATTTGTATCCTTTGAGATTTAAGTGATTCGATTTTGTTACTACATAAGGCAAATATGCTTAGCCACAAGGGAAGTTTTTGGAGTGGCCTCCAGTTTGCCTCCGTTACATCATTACTACTTAATCCCAATGGTATGATCTAGGACTAGCTAGTAGCTCAAATACCCAAGCCAAACACAGTTAACAATGTAGCTCTTTAAACCTTAATTTTGTCTCTCGGTTTCCTTATATATTAAGACTCCATCTCTGAAACCTTATTTATAAGGAACCGTAATAATCTCCAATCACCTCATAAATTTCCCTCTAATCTTGTTCATTGCTGGGGTGTATGAGCTGAACAGTATCTAACGCCCAGAAATGCCTTGGGGAAATCTTACAGTTCTGCTTCCCTTGCTGGCCAAGCTCCAGTTTCTATTTCTTATTTATTTTTTTCAGGCAGAAGAGCAAGGATATTCCATCTGCATAGGTACCAGAGTCAGATAAAGACCATGCCCCCTTCCCGGCTCTATGGGGCTGTTCAAGAGGAATGAAGAGATGGTGCCCAGGAAGAAAATCCTTACTGGTGTTTTTGCTTTCCCAGGTTTCCAAATATCAGCATTTCCCCTTAAGGCTAAAGACACAACTGTGCCATAAAAATCTTCCATTTACCTGCAATGGGACCCAATCATAGTTTCATAGCTAAACACTACATTATTTCCCACGAAAACTCATGCAAAGTCAACGAGCCTCCTAAGCGGGGGTTTAAAGTCATCTTTGTGGAAATCCACAGCTACACTGAAGATGCCTGGAAAAGGAGAATCAGACGGTAAGACGGCCGTTAGAATGCATGGCTTTGCCGTAGAGCAATACAACTGTTCATAAGTGCTCTGTGAAACAGCAGGAAGTGTTTCAAAAGAAGCCTCTGGCTTCAAAAGATGACTTTTCAAACGGACTTTTGGTTTTCTGAAAAAAAGGAAAAAAAGAAAAAAAAAAAGCTGAGCCCGAGGCTGACTAACCCCCTTTCTTTGAAGTGTTGATGTACATAAATTGATTCTCATATCTGATGTAGAGAAGTCCGTTTTAAATAAATGAGTGTGTAGGTTATAATTCTTCAGTACTTTCCCACAGCTTTGGGTGAGAAGAACACTACCTAGTTCATAAACCTGTGTCTCCCCACCTTCCACTACCAGCTGAGTGCACTTCAGTTTATGCAAATGTAGGATGAGGGTATTCTCTCCTACCCTGAATATACTCCTAGCCAAATGCTGAGCTTCTTAACACCGGTAATAACTGAGCAGGGCAACTCTGAGTACCGAAATTCCAAAAGTCAACATCTTTGTTAATGCCCACATCCCACTCCATCACACCACCCAGCATTCAAGTTTTCACAAATTAGAGCAAGGAGAATATGCAACCCCTCAAACAGGGTTATTAGGCTCCAAAATGACAAATGAAAGCCAGGAAAACATAGGAGGAAGGTCAGGGGTGAGTGACAGGAGTGTTGGTTTAGAGAGTGAAGGAGCATACAGTTTCAAGAGAAGCTTTCCCAAACCCTCATCTGGGTGGTCTGACCTGGGAATGAGCATGGTGTGTGAAAAGCACTCCCTCACAAAGAAGGGTCTCACATCCCAGGCAGGTGATGAAAAATAAACTGAAAAGGAACCTGGTTTCTACTTTGCTTATGTCACAAACTGCAAGTGTAACTTTGGGTAAGTCACGAGCTTCAGCTCTCACCTGTGAATCAGAAAACTGAACGAGAGCAGCCAACCCCCTTCCTCTACTCTACCTGGTGTGTTGTAAGATAGTTAACATTCTGAATTAAAACTTCTGGAAAGGCCCCTCTATTGGAAGGTGAGAGAGCGCTGGAGTACAGGGCTCCTTTGCATCCTTTTAACAGGCCTTTAATAAAGGGCCTTCCACATACTTAGCAGAAGTATCTATCTAACCAGCGTTATGTATTTATGCGTTTATTTATTTTGCCCTGCTGTTAAATTCTTCAACTACTGCCCGTTCCATTGCCCCTATCCACTGGAGTTCACTCCCTTTCCATCATCCCACGTGATTTAGTCTCTTCTAAACGTGCACGGGCAAGTTCACGCTGAGGACAGAGAAAGGAGCAAGCAGACTGCGCGGAGTCGCGACGGTTGGGGAAGCAGGCGGACGCCCCTTCCTGGAGGCCGTCGCCCACCCGCCGCGGGGTTCCAACGTGTCGGCGGCCCGGGCTAGTGGCTTACCCGCGATGTCCCATAGTTGCAGGCGCACCAGCGTCCTGCTGTCCCAGTTAAGGACTTTGAGTGCGAAGTCCACCCCGATGGTGGCCCGGTAGTGCTGGGAGAAGAGCTGGTGAACGTAGCGCTTGATGATGCTGGTCTTGCCCACTCCGAGTTCCCCGATGACCAGCACCTTGAAGAGGTGCTCGCGGGTCTCCGGCACCGCAGTGGCGGCCACCACCAGTCCCAGGTCCCCGGCCCCGCCGCCCGCCATGAGCGCCTCCAGCCCCGCTCCAGCCCGCCAGCTGCTCTCGGGCGAGCTCGGGCCCCCGCCGGACCCCCGCCGGCCTTGGAAACTTCCTCGAGGCCGTGCCCGCGCCCCACGACACCGCCTGATCGGTCACAGGACCCGGAACCCGCCGTCGCTCGCAGCCTTTGAGGGGCGGGGAAAGGACCTGGGCTGGCCTGGTGGGGGGAGGTCCGGGCTGGGTGGCCGCCCCCCACCCCCGCCCCCCTCTCCCTCCAGCGCTCAAGCAGCCCGGGGCCTACTCTCCCCACTTCCTTCGCCGGGGCGCGGATCCCGCACGCCCCCTAGTGGCCACAGACCGACTGGGAACCCGCCGAGGGCCCAGGCGAGCCCATTAAGGTCAAGGTCAGCCTGCCAAACTGCTGAGGCCAGCTCTGGAAAGCCCTGAGTCAGAGCTGAGGGGAGGCGCAGGCCTGGGAATAAGCCCCTTCCCAGGGTCTATCTGCGCTGAGGTTTCACACCTGAAGATCATTTCCTGAGCCAGGGAATCTATCTGCAGTGCCTGTTTTTCCATGGTTACTCTATGAACTGTGTCGTTTCTCTTTTGTAAGTGCCCAGATTTCACATCTGTGTTATGTCAGTTTCCACTCTTTGCATGCTTTACATCTTCAAATATTTGTAGCTATTTCTCACTTCCCCTTGTCTCTGTTCTTGGTCTATTTCATCTTTTGAGTTTTTAAACTTTTAAAATTCCTCTGTTGTCATGTTACTGGAATTTTAGGAGCAAATACCAATAGACACGTGTGTTCAATTTGGCCCATTTAACCAGAATTCATAGTGGTATGTCTAAAGCTTCAAATCAGAATACTTGTCAGCCCTGTTTAAAAATCATCAGTGGCTCTAACAAGAACAAAAACCCGCAATTGGAAGTGTACACTTTGTAAGAGGGCACTTCATGCTTCTCAACGGCCTCGCTGTCGCTCAGATGAGCTCTGCTGCTCCTTACTGAAATCTGCCCCCCTCCCTGAGATGCTGTGCTTTCTTTTATCTTGGGGTGTTGGCTCTCACTCCCCCTTTCCTCTGTCTTCTTTTGTCTAGCTCCTAATAGTCTTCAGCTTTCAGCCTGAAGATCACCTTCTCTTTCCACTTCCCCCAAGTACAGGATGGATGCCCACTTTTCCCTCTGCAATGGCACCCTGTGCTGTGTGAGCCACTTTGGCACTGCATTATACTGTACATTCTGAACTCTGTGTCCTGCTCTGCATTATGCATGCTAAGCAGGGACTCGGTCTTCTTCGCTGTGAGAATATCAACATTCAGTGTTTATGTAGCTGATACTCAATGAAAACGTGATAAGTGAATATTGAATAAGCACTCTATTCCAAGACCTGAGTTCACAACCGAGCTTTATCCTTTGGCCAACTTTGCGATCTTTGAATAGAAAAACAGGATGTAGAAGTGGTGAGGTCAGTTTCTGACTCTGCCATTTCTTTTATGATATTAGGAGATCACAACCTTCTAATCTCCATTTTCTCAGGTTCAAGTGAAGGAGAAATATATGCTCTATTGTCTGTATAAAGTGATATAAAGACAATATTCACAAATATACAGTATATTTTATAAATGTATAAAATATGCTAAAAATCAGTCTCACTTTAAGGAGCTGTTCAATGTCTAGTACTGTGTTCCTTGCCAAGTTCTTTGCTGTGCATGGGTACATGTGTTTTGGGTGCCCTTCTGTTTAATAATCAGCCTCCCATCTTTTTGTGCCTGTAGTAGTATCATATAATTAAGAAAAAAAGCATAAAGTGCCCCCATTTTAACATAATTTTAAATAATTATAAATGTATCAAATATTTTAAAAAGATCAAAACTTAAATTTTGCAATGTTTTCCTATCGGTTACATATTGCTATTTAACCATTATAATTCCATGTTTATTTCATATGATTTTCCACATTTAACGTAGAACAGGTTGGCAAAATATAAATGAAATTCTAGCCTGCTTGGACAATTGTCTTTATTGCCTTCTATTATGCAGGATAATCCAATATTCACGAGATCACAGAGCCAGATACAATGATAATGTTTTCCCAGTTAAAAGGATTTTATGTTTTATGTTGCAGAATTTGTGTGGTGGCCCCATAGTTGTTACTTTTAACTATTTCTTTATGGAGCTAGTTTGCCCAGTCTTCCAGAGAATGCACAGTAATCAAATTTACGTCTGATTCCCACACTAAAATCCACCAAAAACCATTTTTAAGTCAATTTATCTACTTTTTAATCTGCAATATGATTTTTCATGTCTAAACTAGTCATTGCAATGCTTTTCAATGGCCTGGGGATTTTAAAAGGAAATGGAAAAGCTCAGAGAAAGAATATTTAACTAATGCCTCTTTTTCTCAGAACCATTCAAGGACATTTCTTGAAAAGCTATGAATATTTACAAAACCTATAAAACCTGTGCTTTTATAGGAATGCTGTCATGGTTTGATGGAAACTTCAATGAAATATGGCTTGGAAGACACATTGGATATAGATTATATCACATTTTTAAATTCGTAATTTGACCTGTTTTACACATGTTTTGAAATGTTCAGTTGGTAAAGCATGTTGCCCCTTTGGGAACAGCAACTGCTTGTCTAGTTAACGTAAACAGCGCTTTGAAGTAACTTTGTGAAGGTACTAGTTCAGAGTTGCTACGGATAATGTAAGTTTACCTTATTTGAACGATGGCTCTGTGGCACATGATATTTTCAGCCCTGTGTAGGTATTGATGCATTTAGCTGAGCAATCCCATATTATGGGCACTTTTATTATCCATTCATTACAGATGAGGGAATGGGTAACAGATGACAGAGAGAAGAGGCTCCAGCCACCAACCCTGCTCCGTGCGCTGGTGTGCTGCAAATTCCAGCCTTCAGCAGTTAGTAGCTTCAAGGGGGCAAGTAGACTATTCTCTGTCATGCAGGTGTAACAATTTATAGATTGGATTGGAACTGTTCGAATGCAACAGGGCGAGCTTTGCAAATTCAGTCCTGCTGAATGGTGACAGAAAAATGTTCTGGAACTCAAATTTACCAAGGAATTTCCTTGAAACCAAGGACCATGGAGTCTCAGCAGTGGGCTGTGCAGTGTATGTGGTTGTGGCATCATAACCACAACCATCAGTCAGATAAAATATCAAGGGTTTCAAGATGTGTTCATGTTGAAGGATTACACATCACAAAATGCCTCAGTCAAAATTTCCAGTCTCTGACCCTTTGGAAACAAAACCAGGAGACCAGAACCAGCATACTTGTCACAAGTGGGCAGCAATACTCTGAAAAGCAGAACACCAGGTCAATATTTTTCCCTTTCTTCTGCCAACCACGCACAAAAATATTTATGGCAGGGCTGACTGTTCTATTGCAGGAGTTATTTGGGTTGAGTAGAAAGTACTCAATGCAACCAGAATTGTTCTCACTTTCATTAGTGTAGTGGCCAGGTAAGTTCTACATTAAAGCAACACTCAAATTGCAGTGGCTTTTCCTAGAGAAGGTTGATCTTTTGCTCATGAAAAATCTGATGTGGGCTTGGATGAGTCTCTAGTCAGCTGGCCCCCATGTGATGCTCTGGAACCCACTAGACTGCTTGCATCCTGCGGTGTCACCAGCTCAGTGGCTGCTTTTGTAGTCACTGAACCAGGCAGGGCAAGAAGGGCTGGACAGTCTTGCACCAGCCATTAAATGCTCTGGGCCTGAAGCAACACACAATTTTGATTTAAAAGGCATTGGTTAAAGCTGGTCGTGAAAGCCTGTCTTCATCTGGGGGTGAGGAAAGAACAAGCCTGTGTGCTGTAAAGAGGACACCAGAGCTTTCTCCCACGTATAGATCACTGTTTCTGAAAACTAAACAGATTGTAAGCAAACACACTACATTATGAAAGATAGGGAGTTATCCCAATAGTTACAAGTGCATTAATATGATGGCCCCTACTTCTGTATAAAGAAGTTAAAACTCAGACAATTATCTACTGGCAAACATCTTAAGGTAAGTGGTTTACCCTTCGTATTTTCTCAGGTTTGAACCAGGGTTGCCTAACCATGACACTGTTGGCAGTTTGAGTGCACTAGGTCTATCGTAGGAGACTTTTCAGGGCATCGTACGATGTGTAGCAGCATTCTTGGTCCCTACCCACTGATATGCCAGTAACTAACACATCTCCTCCACCCCAATGTGACAAGCAAATACACCTCCAGGTATTGCCAAATGCCCTGAGAGGGCAGAATCGCCTTAGGTTGAGGGCCACGGGCTAGAACTATCCCTCTATTATTTTTAACACCCAGCCTCAGTGTTCACACAGCAGCATATGTGTAACTATAGATTCCATAATGTATAAAGCGCTGCATATGGCTTCATATCAATTAATAAAATAATTAAGAGAAAGGTGGTGTTATGTTGGGAACCACTCTGCCTGGTTTCGGGAGTTGTAACTACCCCCCCCCCCATGGATAAGGCTGAGTGAGCGACCTTCGGACTATGAGCCGTTAAGGACACAGAGCTTATCTCCCTGGCAGAAGCGCTGCTTCCGCTTCATCCATCTCTGGCCCCCAATGCTTGGTTGGTTAATGAATGATGGGTAAGACCCCTCAGACGGGGGGGCAACCTAAGCCATACATGATCACTTGGGAGGACTTGGGGGACCGCAGCAAAGAGGGGGTGATGGACCCTCACTCCCAGGCTATTCTGACATAGCCCAAGTCCCCATTTCTGTCTGGGAGAAGTACTTCCTGGCTCTAATCCACTTAAGCCTAAAAACCTATGACCGGGAGGGCGGTGCAGTCCTTTGCCAGCTAGAGTGGGTTCTGGGGTGACCGGGCATAAAAAAGAATTCTAAAGTCCTGTGAAGCCTGCTTTGCTAAGAGTGCTTTCATTCATATGATAAAGGTCATATGAGCAGGAAATGAGTATGTCTCCCAAAGTTTTTGCAACCTTCTTACCTGACAGACACTGACTCAGATTAAGCTCTCAGATTTCTTTGAAATGTTATCTACTGTTTGATCCTTGCTGCCTGACATTGATTGATGAGCTTTACCGGTATTTCTGTGTGTTACAAACCTAATAAAAGCCATTGAGGAAGGAGCTCTTGGTCCTTCTCCTTTGAGGGATTGACCACCTCTCCTCCCCAAGCAGATCATGTCTTGGCAGTTTTATTTTCATCCGTTGCGGACAGGGGGGACTTGCAGGCAAAGTTTCCCCCACAGTGTTATATTTACCATAGGAGGGAACAAGTTGAAAAGA